TATTGACAAAACATTGCATTCATTCAGATATTAATCGCAAATATATTTTGACAACAATTCAAACAAATCACTAATTGTTAGGAAAATGACGACAAAAATGTTGAATCGATTGAAGAGGGGATCAGTTGTTGTGACGAATAAACTATTGCTTAGAAAATATAGCTCAAGAAGTGTCGAGCAATTGATCCAAACGTTGGATAGAAAACAATTCATTGAAGATCTGAGCGATGAGAACAACTGTTTGTGTCATTTGTTTATAGTTTTCACTCATTTATTGCTTTATTATTAATTTGCAAAACATTTTCTAAATATCCAGATCTCAAGCATTCATCAGACGTTTCACTACTGAATGTCAAATATTTTACTTCAGAAACGATGCGATTATTGAATACAAGTTTTGATAAGCAGTCGACACAAACTCACATTCAGTCCAATCATAACAATAATAGTAATGCAAATGTTTTGAATTTATCTTTATTTTTAAATACATATATGTTTTAACTTTTTATATATACATTTCCATTCAATCCATTGTTTTTAAACATTTTATTTAAATGTTTCGCAAAATTTTAAATAACATACCATTTAATAAATGGTTTTCAACCAATCAGAGAACCGATTGTGAGAATACCTCTTCAATTAATTTTAAAAAGTTCACCAAATATTTTAAACCAGTCTTTCAAAGCGAACCACATTTTTATATCCCAATCATTGAATGCATGAATAGTCTGTCATTTGTCTTAAGCATTGTTTATAAACACCGATTCACTCATTAATTATTTTTTCAGACCATTTCCCGGATTTTTATTTAAAGCCAAACATTCACTTCACACGAGAATCGTTGACACAATTGATAGCAAAGGCGCCAAACGACCAAGAATTTCATTTTTTCAATGCAATCTCCAAATTAATGGTGAATCGCGAGGACTGGAAAGTGCCAGAGGATGTCGTCCACACTTGGGTTTCAATGCTATTGAGTTATCAGTTAAATCATAAGTTTGTGATTTCCAACTCTCAAACCAATTATCCCATTCGTATTCATACCAGCGATGAGGTAATCACTTCTTCATTGTACACACATTTCCTTATAAATAATGATTTAATTGTTTAGGGCTTCCGAAGCATCGGTTCTAAACCAGATTTGGTTGTTGTGGCAAAGAATGACACAATCGTTTTGAACGTCGAAGTGAAGCGCTGTAACGAAAGGGTCGGTAAACGCCGTGGTTTGCGCCGAAACGTGTGCCAAACGCTCGGCGAAGCCGTTGGCTGTGCTCAGCACAACCGGGCCATCACTCACAGCCCCTATCAGTGCCGGCATCACTCACTTCTGGTCCGCTGCACACACTTTCACTTTTTCGCCGTTGAAATCAGTGACCAGTATTTGCTTGAATTGGAATCGGAATCGGGTCTCAAAACACCGGTAATTATGCGAGTGTTTCAACGATGTAGTGATTGAACTCATAATCCATGTATTATATCGTATTTATAGCTTAAGATCTATCGAATGAATGATAAGGGACTCGACTTCTGTGACCCCGAAGACAGGATTCGCATTTTGAATATTCTGTCATACATTTGGAGCTTTTAATCATTTGATTGCCATTTAATTCATTGTATTATAAAAATGTCGCGAATTATGAGAAAAACAAAACAATTAATATATCGAAGAGAAAAAGGCATCAAAACGACGGTTTGTCTCACATTTTGTAGTTTTTTGCATTCAATTATAATTATTTGTATTTTATTTTGTTTTCAGATTCTGTCAAAAATCATAAGAAGAAGAAAATGAGATATTTTTCACTCGAAAATCTATTATTACTGAAGAAGAGTCTCAAAGAGTCCACAGATTTGTCGAAACCAGTGATGAGACCAATGAGAGAAGCGTTAGATTTCATTGCAATCAAAGCCAATCAACCTTTCAGTCAGTTATTGACGATTCAGTCAAACACTAATCCATCGAATCCTTTGGGAGTTTACGACACGAAGACTGCTCTTTGGTCTGAAGGAAAGGGAGGTTTAGATGATATCCCTATTCCTGAGTCGTCTCTCAAATGCCAGTTAATGAAAGACAAAACATATAAAAATGGTATTAAAACTATATTTTTGTTTTGAAAGACATTTTAAATGCATTTTGTTTTGTAGAGACAATTGGCGCGAATCGATGTCCGACTCTTAAGTATTGGACAAACGGAGAGATCTTTCGCTATATTTCAAGCATTAATTGAATTCAATTTATTTACTCCGAGTTTATTGACGTTTGAAATGTCTGTTCAGGTATTCATTCATTCAATCAATTGTTTGTTTTTCATTATGTGTTAAATATTTGTCTAATTATAGGATTGGAAATCACTGTTTGAGCCGTTTTGGGACAGCGGTTGCCCTCGTTTTGGGGAAAACGGATCCATCGGTTGGTCTCAAGTGATGGCTAAGAAGAATGTGGGAAATAGTGAACAAATGGATCCACAAATCGAGTCTCTCATCGATAAAGAAGAGAATCAAATCATTTCAGAGAAAAGTCATAAAAATATCGTTTGGCTTAAGTTTGAATTATTGAGACAACGGTTCCATTGGCTTCCGGTTCGCACCGACACTGACATCGACGACACGGAGAGGATTGTCTCAAGTGATGATGTAATCGATGTTTTGGTCAGATTTCGTGAGACAAACACTAAATACTTTTTAGTGAAACAATTTCTACGCTTTTTATCTGTGATTGACTTTAAAAGTGAAGAAAATGTGTTAAAAGTGATGACTGTTTTGAGCCAATCATAGAAATCCCTGACTTTATAGAGACCAACCAAAATAGAGACCAACTCTTGAAGTTTGTCCGCAAATACATTGAACTCGAGTTTGACATCAATTGTTTGACTCAAATGTCCGACAATTTATCGGTAAAACATTCGGCAAAAGACTCGACGACTCAAGACTTGTGTCTCAATTCATTGTTACCTATAAGTTGTGGTCAAATAGTCTTAAACTCTTCGCCAACTTTTGTTCTCATTGTTTTATTTTTGTTTTCAATGCGTTAATAGTCGTCAAAATTCTGGCCAATCATTAAAACAGTTGCGTTCAGTACTGAACAGAGCACTGGATTTATATGCAAGTGATCAACAATTTGTGTCTCTATTCGTGAACATAGAGTTCATGTCTCATGTGTTTTGTCGGATGAGAAAGTTTTTCGCCAAAACATATCAAAGCGTTCAAAACCAGAAGAATAGTCATCACAAGTGATTGAATTGTTTGTGTGAACTCTCAGTTTAGTGATAATGTATTCTTGTTTTAAGTGATAAAAATGAGATACAGAAGTGATACGTGTTTTTTAGTACATTTTCACAATTCTTTGTTTTCAAATGATTTCCAATTGATCTCATCATCAGAATTACATATCATGTTATTTGAGTACTTTTTACTTCTAATTATCTGTGATTTTAACCATTTTTGCTAATTATTTGCAAAAAGTTTTAGTTTTAGAAAACATTTTTAGAGTGATTTTAATAATTGAAGTATTTTTTATTATTTAATATTTATTTCGACAAATTATTTACATTTTTTCATTAAAAGCATTCATTTCAAATGAATGAATGAATGAATCATTTGAAACCAAAAGTGATTTATGAAAAAAGTGGTTTATATAATGGTTTATCGTTTATTATAATTTATTGATCGACGCCTTAACTGTGAAGTTGTGATCAATTGTTAGATACTATTGCAAAGACACTGATGATAGACATCACATATAAATATTGTGCCAAACTTTGCATTGATTTTGACTATAATTGGAGAATTTCGTTGAATTGAATTTAGTGTTAAAAAACTTAATTGAGGTTTAATTTCAAATGTTTTAATAACTAATGAGCGGCAGATGAGCGACTCGTTTGTGGACAAAGATCTGTCGACCAATGAGAACGTGGAATCGTTGGTCGGCGTCGAAGCGAAAGAGTCTGATCCCAGTGCGGGTCAAACGAGTGATAATAACCACTATATCTCGAACTTGAGTTCGTTTGTCGTCAAAGATCTCATTGATTATAGCAATCAAATCAATAACAATAACGAGAATAACGGTTATCCGCAGCCATTGAAGGACAAGGTGTCGCACCTGCAGATGATCGCACGCGCCGGTGAGTGTCAGCACGTGTTAAACGTTACAATTTAAGTACTAAACCAGATTTGTATGGCATAGTGTGGCCGCACGAGAGCTATATAATCGAGTACTCGCTTGAGTACGGTTTCCTACGGCTGTCGGCGCGCGCCCGACAGCGACTCCAGATTCCGGTCAAAGTGGTAACTCTGGACCCGCGGGACAACCGGTGCTTCGGCGACGTGTTGTCCCGCACTCTGTTGTCCAACTTCTTGGGCTACGACGACATTCTGATGGGAAGTCTCAAGAATTTGGCCGAAAAGGAGAACAACAGGGGATACGTGCGGAATGTGATCACTGGTGAACACTACCGGTTCGTCAACATCTGGATGACCAGAGCCTCGTATATCGCGGCCGCGTTCATAATGTTGGTCTTCACGCTCTCCATCTCAATGCTCCTCCGCTATAGTCATCATCAGGTGTTTGTCTTCGTCGCCCAACTCATGCATACGCTTGAGTCCAATGTCCACCTGTCGTACCAGACCTTTCCGGCCGCACCGCTGCTCACCGTAATCCTGGCGCTCGTCGGTATGCATACCATTCATACTATTTTCCTACAGATTGTGTCTAGACTTGTGTTTTGCTTTTTCATTCAATTTTCTCATTAGTTATGAAATGAGTGTTTTTTAACTCAAACTTTATGTAAATGTAGTCTATTTTAGTTGTTTTAGCAATGATTGAGAAAATTATTATTTTATTCTTTAATGTCATAAAAATAATAGGAATTGTTTTATTAATCTATAATAACCATTGAATATTAGTCGAGAATGTGATAAATAGACACTTGATTTTACTCATTAGTTATGTATTCAATCGATGAATTGAATGAAACACTCTCTCGACATAGTGTTAGATAACTATACATAATGTTTGTCTGTCTGTATGGTCTGCACAGGTATGGAAGCGATAATGTCTGAGTTCTTCAACGACACGACCACTGCTTTCTACGTAATACTGATCGTATGGTTGGCGGACCAGTTCGACGCCATGTGCTCTCATACGACACTAACCCGAAGACATTGGTTGAAGTTCTTCTACTTATATCACTTCGCGTTCTACGCCTACGACTACCGCTTCAACGGCCAGTACTCGGGTTTAGCGCTCCTCACGTCGTGGCTCTTCATCCAGCACTCAATGATCTACTTTTTCCATACATACGAATTGCCGCACATTCTCTCCGAAACACATCCCATCACTATTGAGGCCACAGTCAGACACCACACGAACCAAACAAACCAACCCAACCAACCGCCCGACGCACCCCCCGAACCGCCCGAACCCAACGCCAGTGCCGGCAGTCATGACAACAGCGACGGCGCTAACGAAGAGCAGAGGTCCGACAGTTCTGCGCCCGAAGCGCACGATTCAGACCATAACTTATTGGCAAACAATACCTCAAACGAGTCGACGAGTGAGAGGACGACCAGTGCGTCGGCCAGTCGTCCGCCGCTCGACAGTTGTGACGGCGGCGGCGGTAGTGATGGGGCGGAGGGCCCGCCCGTCAGTGACGACACCCGCCCTTCGCAGACATGTTCTCAAATTAACTCTAATTTATTAAATAGTTTTGCAAATAATAATTCAATGAATACTAATGTTTAGTCTTTAATATGAAATCTGCATAATATTTGAGAGAAAATCTAATTTTCATACAAATCAACAGACATTTGATTAATTGTTGACTACTTTTTGAACACATGTTAAACGAACCGAGAATTGAGTTTAGATTTTGATTTCAATTCAATTATAGACAGAGATATGAAACCAAAAATGAATTATAAAAATGTAATTTTTATCGCAAATTAATTTCAATGCTTTTTGCGATCAATTGTTTATATTTTCCACTTATTATAGTTTGTAATGCATTTTGTGATACAATTTAAATGTAGTTATGTTTTCAAATTTGTTTTCAACTTTTTTGTTACAATTAATTATTAATTTGTAAATAAAAGTATATATTATTAAACTATTTGTGTTTTAATCGCAATTAATAGTCATTTTCGCAACTTTTGTGTCACGTCTTAAGCGAACGGCTCTTCAGCTCTTTATTCATAATCACGTGATTATTGTTTACTAACTTTTGAACACATTTTGAATTGCATTTTAACCACAATTTAGTTATTAATTGTGTTTTCATTACGAAAACAATTGTTTATAAATTGAAACCAATTGTGGGCACAACTGTTGGTCACGTGATTCGGGTGTGTATTGTGTCTGCATTTGTGGCACAACTTATGGACAATACTTTGGACACAAAAAGTAAGTATTTATTGACAAAACATTGCATTCATTCAGATATTAATCGCAAATATATTTTGACAACAATTCAAACAAATCACTAATTGTTAGGAAAATGACGACAAAAATGTTGAATCGATTGAAGAGGGGATCAGTTTTGGCCGCAAATAGTGTTACGAATGGACTAATGGTTAGGAAATACAGTATAAAAAGTGTCGAAGAGTTTATCCAAACGTTGGATAAAATGAAATTCATTGAAGACCTGAGCGATGAGAACAACGGTTTGTATCAATTGTTTACAACTTTTTGCACTCATTTCTTGTTTACAACTAATTGTCAAAACTTATTGAACATTAGATTTGAAGCATTCATCAGATGTTTCGCTATTGAATACCAAATACTTTACGCCAAAAACGATGCGATTATTAAACGTTAAGTTTGATAAACAGTTGACACAAACTGTCGATCACTTAAATCAAAGTAAAAGTAATGCAATTTTTATCATTTTATCCCACTTTTCAAACTGACATTTGTTTTGCATTTTTATTTTCATTTATTTTTTAAATCATATTATATTTATTCAAATGTTTAAAAGATTTTATAAAAATATTTCTTTAATTAATTCGTTTATCAAATCATTTTCGACGAAACAACGGATCCTAGGCTTAGAAAGTGTGTCCAAAATTAATGAACAAACGTTTGACAAATACTTCAATCCTGTCTATCAAACGGTTCCACTCAAAGACATTTCACCCAATCATCGCATCAGAGGTTTAATTCGTGTTGAGTCTTGTTTTGACCTCCGATTCACTCAATAATTACTAAATTTAGATCACTTTCCGCACTATCTTTTGAAAGCAAACACTTATTTCACATATAAATCATTGACTGAATTAAGAATAGCGGCTGAAAGTGAAGAAGAAGAGGACTTTTTAAGAAGAATTTCTGATATTATTACCAATGAAACGGGTTTTGGTAACAAAGAATGTATAGTCAATGGATTCGTCAATAGTTTACTGCATAGCCATGAGATTCAATACAAACTGCCGTTTGATATCCACACCAATGAGGTATTCATATGAGACAATTAGACGAACCATTCATTCTTGTATTGTTTCACTTTTCCATAGAGATTGTTTCCCATCGGATGTGTTCCCGATTTTGTCGTTTTCTCCAATAATCGCATTGTAATGACTGTTGAGGTGAAGGCAGACAACACTCACAAAGATTTTAATAAACACAAGTGTCAGGCATTGGCCGAAGCGGTGGCCGCCGCTCATCACAACCGACTCAACTCTGGCATTGCATACCATTGCCATCATTACGCACTTCTTGTTCGCGGAACCACTTTTTACTTCTATTTAGTCGAAGTGAGTCCACTATATCTACAAGAATTTGTTTCCAATACTCCACTCAAAACACCGGTAATTATTTCCTTTGTTTCACATGTAATTAAGCCCATAATCCATGTCTTGTTTTGTATTTACAGCTTATAATACATGGTTTGAATGACACTCCCCTCGACTTTTGCCACCCAATCCACAGAAACACTATTTTGACAACTCTTTCATCCATTCGACACAAATACTCGTCATTTCAATGACTTCTCATTTGTCGTCAAAACAGAAAAATGGTATTAAAATTATATTTTTGTTTTGAAACACATTTTCAATCACTGAAAACTAAAATTGAATGTTTAAACATTTTTAACGCATAAAACAGACATTAAAAATATAGACAACAGATGTCTCACTAAGTGTTGGCATCACGTGATATGTTTTGTGGTGTGTTTTGTCCGCACTTTTGCCACACAATACACACATCTCTGTTGTAGTCGTTTTGCAATTCGTTAATGAGTTTCAAATTCTCCGTTAATTCTAATTGAGTTCTGATCGACGGCTCGATTGTCTCCAAAGAGGTCTCCAGTTGTGGCCAACAGTTGTTTTGGACGCCGAAGAACAGCCCTTTCAGCGACAGTTGCGTCGCGAGCGGCGACAGAGGCGTCACAGAGACGACGGACGCGACGACCGCGTCGTTGAACACGAGTTCCGCCAATTGGTGTTTGGCGTCGAAGAGCGCGCTCTCGAGCTGTGAGTCCAGAAGAGAGAGGTTGTGACAGACATTGTTGTTGCGCGCACTCAAGCACTGGTCGGATACCGAGACTGACACGTGTGGGACATAGAGGCGGCCGGACTCGTGTCCACACCCGAAGAGGCAATCATTGGCTCAATTCATCGCTCAACACAAACATCACTTCTTGTGGCCAAAGGTTTGAAACACAGTCTGAATATCACAAACATTTAAATGACATTCACTATAAAAATGGGTTTCATTTGCGACCATAGGTTTGCCGATACAGACAGTGGACGACACCATCTGTTGAGGACAACTATACAGACAATCATTTGTGTCGAAAGTGTTCAAAGAGTGTGCAGACATCGAGACGTGTCACTACACGCGCAGTACTGGTGATACACCCGCGTTCCCAGTACTGGCCACCATCACCTCATCTGATCCACACCGACACTACCATTGAAAGTAAGTGGGCGTTCGGTTGACCACAATGGAACGCAGGTGTTTCACATTGTGGTCATTTTGTTTGTCTATCAGTGTTTAATGCATACATGTATATGTTATTAGTGGCCGAAAGCCGTCGATTTTATCCGCCGGCGGGGACTGAGGAGTCGGACTATGAAGACGACAATTACTTCGACGAAGAGGTTACTGTCGATGAAGTGACCGTCAATGAGATCACGACTAAACTCAATGAAATGACTACAAGTGATTTATGGCTGAATCGCGTCGAATTGTCTGTGCCTTCAAAGAATATATCACTCTTCAGCTCAACTGAGGGCAAAATCTACAGCAAGAAGGGATTTGTCCGCATTGATGAGACCAGAGATAGGTTTGGTGTAGTGGTGAGTGTTGAGACATGTGTGTCCACACGACTCGTCGTCCGACTCGTGGCCTCAACCAATGCAGAAAATGTTGAGTGCTTTCACGCAATCAAACAGATTGTACCCGAAGTAACTGTACTCCAGGCCATCAAAAATGGCATTAAACAGTTGGACGATTACTGTACCACTTGTCACAGTCGGGCCCACACGATCATCACTTGTGCGAACAATTGTTCATTTTGTCGAGTCGAAGGACATCACGCCGACTACTGTGGCGCTGCAAATGTTGGCTACAATAGGCACCAAAATGAGTTGCGATCGAAGAAGTCATTCACTAAACGCCAACAACAGCCGCCGATGCGACCGCTGAAGACCCCGCAGATCAAACCAGAACAACCATCACAACAAACATTGCGTCGAAACCGATTATTGTGCGAGTTTTTGGGTGTCCAACGACTGGAGTCATACTATAAATCAAATCGATGTATAGTTCTCTCACCACTACCCAATGGCCAGCGCCGGACATTTGCGTGCGATGTCGAGACTGGTAGCGTCAATAGAAAGCCGACGGCTATTGAAGTTCTACTAAAAGTGGATTCATTTGTAACGGGACTTCAGGATGTGGTTAATTACCACTCATTTATACGGGACTGTGCTGTCGATGAAATCAAGACCCACTTCAATGGCATCACACCGTCAATTCTGGAACTATTAGGACAGCCATTGGATGTAGTTCTTAGTGAACTCAAGAGAGTGCTAGGTATGTAACAGGAACGCAGGGGTATCACTGTTACAACCATTGACTCTCTCTCTCTCTCTCTCTCTCTCTCTCTCTCTCTCTCTCTCTTCATAGCNTCTCTCTCTCTCTCTCTCTCTCTCTCTCTCTCTCTCTTCATAGCAAACAACCGAATTGTCTTTTGGAGCAAAACAGTGGACATGGATTACCTCCGTGTTAACCATCAATGGTTTACAGATATCAATTGCGAAGTTGTTGACATTCAAGAGCGCTTCAATATCCATATTTGTTGGAACCAAACAATGAGGGTTTTGTAAGTAATTTAATTTAAATAACGACATTAAATGTGTTAATTATATGTAGGAAAAACTTATGACATCGATTGTGCGAAAGGCAGCACAGCTTCGAATGAATGATAAAATCATTGGAATTCCTTTACCCCCAGGAATTAATAAACGCAAAACTCCACCAAAACGATCCAAAAATAAGACTAAACTACTTTACAAAAGATCCCTAAATAGTGATCTAGATTTGGTGGCCACTCACAGCGCTTCGGGTTATTCATTAACTAATGAAACTAATGTTAAACATATGCTCAACACATACCCGGAGTTGTCCACCGAATATGGGGTTGGTGTTAATATTTATATTCTCATAATTAAGCTAATTTTTATTACAGATAAACGACCGATTCATCGAAAATATGCTATTAAAGTATCCCCAAAACTGTGTCTATGAGGACTATTATAAGATATTTCTTGAAAATGGGGTAAAATTGCTAAGTATTTTAAAGGCCTGTTCGCACTATAAAACATTCACAGATATGTTCTCAACACACAATCGATCCTCAGGTATATATACATATTAAAGTTTATTAATTCAACTGATACACCTGCGTTCGTTGAATTCATTGTAGAGGAGGCCAAAACTGTGGCAACTTTACTCACATTTCAAAAGATTTTTAGCCAAACTGTCATTGCGTTCAATACAAATGTTAGCGGCAATAGTCGGCAAACATTTATCAACATTAATAATAGAGATTCTGAAGAACATCTTTTTACTCGAATTAGCGCCACAACCGGTGATGTCTACGTCGATGGATGTTTTGTTTATAGTACAACTCTTATCAAATGTTTCTACATTTTATTTATATCCCATTTCACGTTTAATCTGGAATACGAAGACAAAGCACACGATTTCTATTTGGCAATTGAACGACTATTATTCAAGTGGACAACAAGTACTATAACATCTAATGTGGCGCAAGTCGTGGCTAACTTAAGAATTAATTAATCATCTTTAATAAGGCGACGAACTCAGGTGTTTCAGAAGCCATAAACTCATTGTGATTAAGATTTTGTATTAATTGTAACCAATAGTCTCTATTACGGCGACGAACTCAGGTGTTTCA